AGAGCTGGGAAGAAGCCCACAGACCTGGCCCTTCCTCTACCAATAAATGTCCATCCAAAAGGGTGGGTTATCCACACGGCCCCCCGACAGGCCAAGAGTAGATGTGGGTTCACAGCCTGATCCCTACCATTCCCTCAGGAGGGGGTCTGGGGGCTCGTCTGGTTTTGCGTGGGAAAAAGTGGGAATCTCAGCTGTGTCCCTACGGCAGGGACGCTACTCCTTGTGGGACGTGGGCCTCTCTGGCTCCGAGTATCTCAGCTGTTCCCCTGTGTCACCATCCTGACCAGAGGTGTCTTGTTTGTGCCTGAGCCTGGGTCAGGATCAATGTGCATTGCTGACTGGTATTTCCAAGCAACTTATCATGAGTGAGGTCCTTCCATCCTTCAGACATGGTAAATGTGAGCTTGAGTGTTGGGGGCTTTCCAGCTAAGAGATGCAGCTCCTACAGGAGAGTTTTCTCTTGCTAGTGCACGATTACCTAGGTCTGTCAGAGGCTTTCACCCAAGTCTGTTCTCAGCACGCTGAGAAATACTCTCCAGGCCCTGGCCATATCCCTCTCGGCTGCAGTCCTTAGTCCAATTCCCAGTGCTACTCATGTACAGTGGGAATAACACCTTAAGTGATACTCTGGGTAGACAGCCCCACAGCACAGTCCAGGGTTCGAGGGTGCAAGCCCTTTCATGTCCCCAAACTTCCACAGTCCCAAAACTTTGGTTCTATACCTAAGAAAAATGTAGGACCCATAGAGACAGCAGGCCCCACCCAACCCTGCTCAGCACCCTTCATCAGGCCACTTAACACCTGGGTGGAGCAGAGCATGTTGAGAAATCAACTCCTCTCCACAAGCTGCATGGCGGACAGAAACAGGAGTGGTCCATTGAATTGCAGGTAGAGGAGGCATCCTCCTGGGGAATTGCCTACATGCACCTCCCTGGAGCTGAATTTGAAGGCTCTGGGCTTGATACAGACCTTCATCACCATTTTAAGAAGCTTCTTCCTCTCTCTCCTCCCTACAGCTTTTCACAAAGCAAGACTGGATAGCATTGTAGCTTATAGCAAGCCCATTCAGCCTTGAGCCATGAGTGGACTCTTGTTTCCTTTCTACTTCACTCCTTGCTGCCTGGGGAAGAAGAAGAGTCTGGAGCTCCAGGCTGCCTCTGCTGCTCTCTGGGTTCAAATTCACCCTGTGTGGTGGCTGCCAGCTGGGTCTAGGTGACTAAGTCTGGGCTTCCCTTCTTGCTTCCCTTCTCCCTCTCCATCAGCAGCTGTCAAAAGAAAATGAAAATGTTTACCCACTCTAGTTGCATCAGCTGCTCCTCCAGATGCTGCACAAGTTGGCATGGCTTTTGCTGGAATAGGGGTCCAAGCCCTGGCAGTCAGTGGTGACCCGTAGGGGGTGCACATGCACCGCCTGGGAACTCTGGTGCACCACCTGACAGGCCATACTCCTCACATAGGCAGTGGGCAGGGGGGACAGGCGTAAGCACTGGTGCCCCCCTGCGAGCTCCAGTCAGGGAATGGGAGTGCTGGGTGAAGTGCCATGGCTACTTCTGGGAGTACCGCAACCGCTTCCCAGTTGGCACGATCAGCCACAGGGGGACCCCCCTCGGTTGGTGAGATTGGCTGCGGGGGGACTTCCCCCCAGTCACTGACTGGTCAGTGGGGGACACATGTGCCCTTCCGACTAAGGTGGCACCAGTCGCCCATGCTGGCATTTACAGCCTGGGGAGCATGGGGCAGCTGAGCCCTTTGGCTCACCCCACATTAAAGGACTCTCAGGAAGGCTGGGAGACCAAGGCTGGTATTTCCATATGACACAGGAGCTGTGTGTGTTGGGGCAGCAGCTGCAGGTTTGCATGCAGGGGCCCACATGCCCCCTCCACCCTAGAGTGGGTGAGCATCTGAGTTTTCCCCTTGTTACACCCCTCACAGCATGGTCAGGGCCCTCAGGCAGATGGCATGGTGGTCAGGGTTATGGTGCCCTTTGGATGTAAGTGCCTTGCTGGTGCCAGGATGGCCCAGACCAGCAGCACAGGGCAGAAGGATGCATAATGGCACTGTGCTATGGCCAGGGGGCCTTCCCCCTGTGTAGTCAAGAGCTGAGATCGTACAGGAGCTTATTCCTGCCTTTATCTAACTGCAGCAGGTTTGTCTGCATTAACAGTAATTAAACCTGACACTGAGGAGCCATGGCAAGCTGCTTAACACAATTGTAAGGAAGGAGACCTCTATGAAAGCTGTGCCCCTATACTCCCTTCCCCCTCCCCCCCCATCATGCTGCTGACTGGCATGAGCTTACCTCTCTCAGGGGCAGGGGCCCTCCATCCTACCCTCTCCCACCCAGCCAGGGTCTTAGGGATGCCTTCACTACCCAGCAAGACATAGGCATCCCCTCCCATATGGGCACTTCTTCTCTTTGGGCCTTGCCCAAAGTGTGAAGGGAAGCCAAGCTGCCTGGAGGGTTAAGGAGGCATTAGGCTGTGATGGCTACCTGGCAGCAGCTGCTCAGACCTCCTCCTTGGAGAATCAGCTGAGATCCAAGATAATCCCTGAAATTCCTTGAGACCAGTGATTCCAGTACTCCAAGCCTCCCTCCTGGCTCTGCCAGATCCTGCACAAGGGTGCACAAGCACCCCCAAGAGGTGCCTTCCCCGCGTGTGAAGTTTGCCCTGTTCCCAGATTATGGCAAGCAGTCATTTCACTTAACAAGCAGTCTGTGCTCAGAAGAGATGCACCTCTGGCAGGGGGTCAGCTTTGGGGGCCCTGGCAAAGCTCTGGGATGACAGGGAGAAGGTAGTGCTACAGGCTACACGTGGCAGAGCCGCTGGGGCCCACGGCTGGAAGGTGGGGTGGGGGCTGCAGGTCAGGGCTGAGAGCCCTGGATAGAGCTGTGCCATGGCAGGTGGTGTTGTAGGTTAGAGTTGAACCCATGCCAAGGTTCACACAGCACTTCCCTCTCCTGCCTTGAGCTCTACCTAGGGCTCCCTCCAGGGGCTCCCTCTGGGCACCAGGGTAGATAGCATTTGTCCATTAAATAAGGGAGCCGGGTGAACATGTGTAAGGATGTGAACAGGTGGGTGTCCAGCAGTGAAGGTACTGAGCAAGGAAGGTATTTTCTGATGAGGCCACTGGTGGTTGGGGGAAGCCGGAAGTGATGGACACATGGCATGGGTCCCTCTGGGCAGTTTGCTGTGGTACCCCCAGGGGCAGCTCTTCCTGCTGTAAATGGGCTCAGGCAAGGCCTGCTTCAGAGGTGAATTAGGCCATTTACCCCCAAGGCAATTCCTCCTGCAGGGCACCTTTGAGCAGAGCCTGCCTTTCAAGCTGCTGGGGGTGGCAGGTTACCTGAAGGACAGTGTTGCTGCACCTTGTTCTCCCCTGAGATTTCACAGCGCTGCAGCATCTAAGGAGACCTTCTCTCTCTCCTCAAGGTCCCCATAGCCTGCTCCCCTCCTTTGTGCTGTCTTTAACCAGATGCCATGGGACCAAGCCTTCCTTAAACATTTTGGATGCACGCATATGGTCATACCAAAAGGGAGGCTTGTTCGGGGGCTGATGGGTGACAAAAGGGCCTACTCCACTGTCCACACAACTCTCCCTCCTGTCTGTTGGCCCCCTGGGTCTAGTAGAAAGGAAGAGAGAGAGTTTGTGTGTATGTGTGTGTGTGTGTGTTGACAACTGACCACTCCTGGGACCTGAGAATGGAAGGCCTGGGGCAGACATCTGTGACCTAGTAAGTTCAACACTCACACGTACCCCATGGCTCAGGTACAGTACTGTTGTGGGGGAGAGAGAGAGCTGGAGCCTCTAATTGGATCATAACCTTGGGCAGTTCAAGTCATCTGATGCAGTTAGGATGAAGTTACACATTATCCTTAGACCATACTTAGGGCACTCAACATGCAAGCATCCACATGTTAAAGCTCATTAACTCATGCTAACTGCCCTCTGAGCATCTCAAAGTTATACCGCTTCAGGCAAGGGTTAACTCTGGGCCATGCTACCTAGCTCGTTTTTAGGGTAACTACAGTATGCTCCACAGAGATAGAACAAGCAATATGCAGTCCTCCAGCATCCAAAATCCACATTTTGTCATGATTAAAATGAAACACCACTATATATTAGTGGTGTTTCATTTTAATCACGGCAAAATGTGGATTTTGGGCTTCTTCTTTTCATCCAAAAATTGGGGTTTTTTATCAGAGAAAACCAGGATCCCTGGTGTTCACCTTGTGGCAGTCCACCTGCCACTTAGTGGCAAGGTGCTTTAATAGCCCTTTCTGTAGTAGATACCCCAGGACAACTCAGGGCCCCAGAAATGAAGCTGCCTGGTGCAAGGGGTAGGACAGACATGTAAAAGCCTTTTAGGCTTCATAGACAAAGGAGAATTTAACATCATTGTAGAAAACCCATGTTAATTATACCAGGGGTAATGCATCACGTGCCCAGGCCTGTCTTTGTGAGCAGATGGTTGCCTGTAAAGAATGGGGGTGAGTATTATTTGAGGCGTGAAGCAGGAGACCTTGGGAGTCAGGCTTACTGGATCCTCTTTCCTTCCTGACCTTGGGTAAGTTACTCAACTACAGTGCCCATGTTTCCTCATCTCCTGTACAAACACCAACACTTTCTACACCCCCGAAAGTGCTTTGGGATCGGCAAAGCAAAAGTGCTACAAACAGGCTGGTCAGGACAGGGTAATTCCTTTGAACAGACACACCCTGCAGTTCCCTCTTGCCCCCACCCTCTGCTAATTCGTAGCCCTGGATAATTTTACCTGTGCAGCCACCACTGCAAAGCTGGATCTTGCTATGGACATGGGCTGAGCCCCTGACAGATGCCAGCGGTGGTGCTGGTGGCCCAGGCCTCTATTCACTGCTTATCACATGGGCCTGACGCTCCTCAGGTCTGTGGTGAGTGTCCCTGGGGGCAGACAGGCTGGTAATGGTTTGTGGGCAGGAGGTGATTCTTGTGTACTCCATGCACCTGTTTTTCATTTGCAGATGGTGAGCGGCTGGGCGAGGTGACAGATGCTGGCAGGCGGGCAGCCGGGGCTCTTGCCTCTCCTCAGCAGAGGAAGGCCGAGGACTCCAATGAGAGCCGGGAGGAGGAGCAGATGGTAATGTCAGGGGCTGCCGTGTCAGAAGCACATGGGGCGGGCATGTGTGGATTGGTGTCTGGGCATTCATCCTCGGGGACATCCCAACAGGGGTGTCTGAGTAGGCATGTTGCAAGTAGCACCCCATTAGAAAGTGCATGGTGCTGTGTGGGAGGCTCCTCGGTCTTGGTTAACATATAGCACCAAGTCTCCCTCTGATAAAACATAGAATGCAGACTGGGGCAGTGTGTGTGTGGGGGGAGGAGGTGTCCCTGTGGCAGGATCTGGTTGGAGAGGGGATAGCAGGTTGTGTGTTGAGGGTTGTCTGTGGCTCTGCTCTGCTGATAATGGCATGGCAGGGCATTTCCCGTGGCATCACTTTGTGGGAGAGCCTCTGATGGCACATGCGTGGGAACCCAGGAGCATTTCCGTATTGCAGAAGGCACAGCAGGGAAAGCGTTTGGAGGATAGGGGTATTCCCCATGACATTGCTTTGTCAGAAGGCAGTGTCATAGGAATCTCCCTTGAAGGCAATCCAAGGTGTGGGGCTGTGAGAGCAGAGGATGGGGGCCTTCAGTGGCATCCAGGAGGAGGTACCTCTTTGGCAGGCACATGCTAGGGGCAGCCAAGTGCTGGCCCATCAGGTAGAGCTCATGGGGCCAGTGCTAATTCTCCCTCCTCTTTCAGGTCAAAAGGAGCAGAACCCTGCTCCCATGCTTCACCTGGTGCCATGTATGCCACCTCAGCCCCTCTGGGGCTCCAGCAGGAGCCAACAGGGCTTCCATCTGTTTCTGTACCTGTGTCTCTCCTGATGTCCCTCACCTGGAACTTGCTGCAAAGGGCTGCCCAGGTTCCCTGACTTGAGGGGAGGGACAGGGCTGAGCAGCTGGCTCGGTCCAGTTCATGGAGGGCCCAGGCCATGCTGGCAGCCAGTCAATTCCCCCAGGCAGTCTCTGAACAAACGGCAAGCCTGCTTGGCAAAGCCAGAGCCTGACCGAAAGGAAGCTCATATTTCACCGCCTGACAGCGATACTTAATTTCCCCCTCATTGTGATAACGGTGACATTGACCGATCGCTGCCCCTTTTATGAGGCACTAGCAGCCATGGGCTGAGCCAGGGACACGAGGGAAATATCAACAGCCCTGGCACAGAGATAACATGACAGCAATTAGCATGGGGAGGAGGCCATGTCACGCTCATTGGGGTCTGCACTGACCCTATTCAGAGCCCTGTTCCAAGTGGTCCAGAGCCAGGAGCCCACTGTTGTCCCCTTAGCATGCAGCTGCCTGTGCTCTACTGCCCTGGGTAGACAGGGGAAAGAAGTTCTCCCTGGCCCAAGGAGTCTGAAAGTCCTTGACATGTCTGTCCTGGGAAAGAACGGGTTGTGACAGACAGCAGCAACCTGCCCAAGGTCCTGCAGCAAGCCAGCCTTGTAGTGAAAAGCATAACCCAGGTGTCTGGCCACTTTACCCCCTGCTTTATTCATGGGCAAACTTTTCCCTAGGCTGTGCTGTTCTTTCCAATGTCAGTTCTACCCTGCAGCTTTATTATACATGGCACATAACAGAGTTCTCCTTTCAGCAGGTGGCATTGCCTCCTAACAGCTCTCATCCCATTGTGCAGCGAGGCAGAGCAGCCCAGCCTACCTGCTGGGCCTGGCCCATCATGACTGTTCTGCTCTTCAGCTGTTCCACACAGCATGTCTTCTTTCACCAACTTCCCCCTACAGCCCTGCACTCTGCATGTGAGAAGGCCATAGCCAGTGCCTGCCCTTGTTCCAGCCCTCAGCAGGCTGGGTGCCCTCACTTTACAGCAGGCCCTCTTGCCATCCTCCACTCTTGCTCTCTGTCCCATGCCCCATTGCCTAAATGGGAGAGCTCTTCCAGGGTGAGGTAGAGGCCAGCACCACTGGCTTGGCCACACTTTGGTCTCTGCTCTCAGCAAAGAGCACTGACAGCACAGGGGAGTCTGTCAAAAGTGCCCATTGTACCCTACTGTCCAGGACCCTCCCACAGGGACTCAGCTTGTCTTCCCCACAAGGCAGCTCCAGCTTCAGCACCCACCCATGGCCATGCACATGCAGTCCTCACTGCTGCAGACTCTGCTTCCTCAGCACCTTGGGACTTTGGGTCTACTTGCGTTTTCTGCAAGCAAAATGGGGCACAAAGGCCCCCTCCTTTCCACCCAAGGTCAGCTGTGGCTCTCAAAGCCATGCTGTATCCCACTCCATGCAGCCTCTAGATAACCACAAATCACGTAGTGTTCCCTCCGTGCAGGAACTGGAGGGGTGCATTGGCCCCCTCCCTACCCACAGGCCCTTTCCCTTCCACCCCAGATATTCTGCTGGCAGAGGGAAAGAGCAATGGCAGGAGGTGATTTCTGGGCATGAGATCCTTTGCTAGTGACAGAGGTGGGGCACTGCATCATGCAAGGCTACAGATGCAGCCAAAGCTGCTTCTGAGCTTTGCAGGCAGATGAAAGAAGTGGCCCCTTTTCTGAATGGAAATAGTCCCATGGGCATTTTGTTTCCAGAAATAGCATCCAGGGCAGAGGAGTGCTGGCGTGCAGTGTCCCGCCACAGCATTCCTGGGGCTTTCCAGGCACTTACATATGTCTTGTGCAAGGCAGGCTCAACAGGACAAAAAGGAAATCAGGGCACAGAGCTTGCAGCTAGTGGCACAGCTGGAAACAAAGCTAGTGGCCTTGCTGTTCAACACCTGAACTACACCTTCCTCTTTGAAATCAGAGCCCCCAGAGACTCATCCATACTCTACTAGGCAGCCAGAGCTGTTCTTTGCTCAAAACAGAAAGGAGCTTCACAGATGTGGATTGTGGCTATGGTGTTAGGGGCCTGGAGTATACCCCCACCATCTATGTGCAGATATTGCCCTGGTCTAGCTGACAGCAGCGGGGGAAGCTGCCTAGTTCCCACCCCCATTGCCTGTTCCTGCTATCACTCTTGTGCTGCTGAAGCCACATCGCCATTGTGCCACCTGCGTGCCGGGCACTGTGCTGCCCGAGCTGTAACATGTTGCATTGTGGGTAGGCATCCCAGGGTTCTTTGCTGCACTCTGAATGGCAGGAAGCTTTCAGAGGAGACTGGAGGGATTTGTAGGAGAGCGGAGTTATGCTCCCACAATCCTTTGCATCATGTCCCAGAATCCTCATGGGCACCTACGTTATTTGTGGTTTAAACATCTCCCCACAGCAGAGGCTGGGGCTTCAGTTGTCGCTGAAGTTCAGAGCTGATGGCTCCAAGGGCAAGGGCTGAGTGGCCTCCATCAGATAACTATGGCTTTAATGGGCTTTAATGTATTAATGTACGGAGGCCAATCTTTGCCCTTCTGCCGAGCACTTTGAGAGGAAGGAGTGCTGCTCTCCCCTCCCTAGCACTAAGTGAGCCCACAGTGCAGTCAGATCAAGGAGTGGGGGTGTGAATAGCTGCCTGTGTAAGCCTAGAGAGGGGAAGAGTTCATTCTGTTTAGAGAGAAAACAGGGAAGGCTGAAGCAGCTGCCTGGCTCCAAAGCAAACAGGCCTGGCTAAAAAAAGGAGATGGAAAGCACGGAGCTGTTTCCACCCCAGCGACTTGTTAATTGCAGGCACACCATCAGCACAGCCAGCTCCATGATGCTGACTCCCAGCCCCTCCTCCCACAGTGCCCCCAGCCCCTTGCTGCCAGGAAACAGAGAGGCATTTATGTGCCCCTGCCTTCAAGCGAGGACCCACTCCAGGTGCATGTGTCAGTAACAAGACCCAGCTGCATGCCACAAACTGGGAGCCAAACATGGGTCAGTGTTGACACCTTTGGCAGGGATTGATCTAGCAGCCACCTGAGGAACCTCCCCTCGACCACATGACTCCCGGGGGCCTACGATTATGTGTCACTGCAGTGGCTACCTTGATCTCTGCACTCTGAAGGGTCCCCACTCATCCCCTCATCCTGCAGGTCTCTTGGCACAGAAATGGGCATGGAAATGGCAAGGCATGTAGGAGGTGGCGTGGGAGGACCCAGTGCCCCAGAGTGCCCATGGCATCCCGCTCCCTCTCCCGCAAGGCGATCCATCACCATGAGGCCCCCTTCCCAATGGCAGTGCAGCTCAGAGGCCACTCCACAATTACAGCTAGAGACAGCGGAAGGAATCCTTCCTCAGAAACAATCAGAGTGTAATTATGCCGCCTTCCTAATCGTGTCTTCAGAGGGCATTGTTCCCCTCCTCTGGGGCTTTAATTAGTTCGTTTAGACAAAGTTTGCTAATTATTTCCTCAGCACTGTGCATCCTAATGGGCTCCTCTTTGTTTACAGTACCTCTGTGCCTCCTCTTGTCTCAGAAGCCAGCTCTCTCCCACTCTGCCCAAGCTGTCTAAGCTCACATTCCCTTGTGAGGGCACCAGAGCAGCCTCCTCTTCCAAGGGGCTGCTTCCTGGCACTGCTCTGTGAGGCTCAGGCCTGGTGTTTTGGGTGACCTCTATTCAGTGCATCTTATGGGTAACGGATGCCTTACTCACCCTGCCCACAGAGATGAAGTCTGGCTTAGCATTTACAGCTGGGCATGGGGTTTGGGAGAGACAAGTTCAACTCCCAGCTCTTCCACTAATTCACTAGCATGTCACTTGCTCTGTCTCTCTGCATCTTGCTTCCCTGTCTGAAAAGGTAGTACAGTACTAATGAGCCTAATCAAGAATACTCTGACATCAACAGGATTTTCCCCATTGACTTAAGGGCTAGGGATCAGGCCCTAGTACTTCTCCAACTCGTAAAATCTAGGTAGATATGACTGCTAACCTATTTGCAACAATACAAGAACATCCAATGGTTAACTGCTATTGCTGATTACTAGATCAGTGATG